GCACTTATTCTGAATACATTTTGTTCTGAACGAACAAACCGTGCCGCAGAAAATAATACAACTCGTTGGCAGAAGTGTAAAAAAAACACTGCTGATCTTGCAAATCAACCAGAGACAATAACTGCGTCCTGCTGGATTAAATGTTTATTACTAATATCGCTGTGCATAATTATAACGCCGTTAATGTTCTTGGCTTAGCTCTATACTGCTAGGCCAATGCCTGAAAAGATAAATGGCGTAGTCAAATTCCACTCGGGGAAACAAATAAGCATCCACGGACACATCACACGGGCAGTGCACGCAGAGAGTTTCAGTAACTACTGGAATGTTCTTCCTGTTATCCACAGTATTTTTTGTGGATAATTGGGAGTCACGTGGATAAACAAAAAAAAATTCAATTATCAGCAGGCTATCCACAGCTTTGACTGGCACTTTTTTCATTTGGGAAAATCCCATCGTATATTTTAATGTTGGGGGTGATATGTGGAGTTCATTCGGCAAATTCATCCTGTTATGTGCAATCACTTGTGCTTTCTTTTTGTGGACAAGTAGAGTTGTGTGGCCAATTTTCACCCGATTCTCAGTGGGCTGCTCGTGGATCTTGAACGCGCCTTTGTTTCGGCAACACGCTCTTCGGGGACGTCACGTCGTAACTCCTATTGCCCACAAATATGTCGCGGATAAACTAACAGAACAATTATAATTTTAGCAGGTAAGGCCCACTGAGCTCTGCAGCTCTCTTTCAGAAGCTCAATGAATTGGCTTATCACGTGGAAATGTACAGCAGCCAAATACTCTAAAACGCGTGTTGTTGATTCTAAATGTGGAGGAAAAAACCGGAGGAACCTGGAGAACGATCCAAGCGACCATAGGGAAAACATACAAACTCCAAATATACAGCAGCAGCAGGCATCAGGGTTGGGATGGAACCCACGACCTCCTGCATACCAGGTGAGGCAGATGTGGTCTTTCCTACACGTGTGATGCATATCCCTTTTATTCTTTACACATGGCTGATTAATTCACTTGCATTTTAATCCGTCCTTTCCATTATTACTTTGTTTCTTCGGTTGGAATTTCTGAAAAAGCCGCAAGGGTTATAACCTGCAAGGTCTTCCCAAAAAGCAAAAGCAAAATAGAGGCCTGAAATATTTTCTCAGAGGGCCTAGGTAAATAAACTATGTTGTTGTTTTACTAATGTAAACACAATGCTCACTCTGCTAAATTCTTAATTCGTTCCTGACATCTCTGTTCCTTGGAAGTTGTCTGAGTGAACAATTCCCGGTGGTCATCGATGATATTACAGATAGGGTCCCCGAAGATCACTACCTACTTCGGCATTGGTTAAAGGGCAGTTATACTCCACTATAATTATACTAAATCTACGGCAACCGCTGGCCCCTGACTCAATGCTGAGCATGCGGCTCACGCGCTGCTGTGTTTTTAAAAAGGTTCTATCGTCAGCAAAAAATAAATCTGCATTCATTTCACCTTTGTTGAAGAGAGATTACTGCAGTCTGAAAGATATGATTATTTTTGTTCAAAGTGTTGTCCCTTAGCTGTGTCTAGACAAGGTTTGCGGTGTTCAGATACTCACAGTAGGTTGCACCCTTGGGTCACGATGGAATTAGTGTTTTGTATGAACATCGGAAACATTAATGCTGAGAAAATGCTCTGCTATAAACACTGCTGAAAGCTCAGTGTAAATCACCACAAGTGGACTCTTGCACAGGCCATGTAAGAGCACCGGAAACTCGATGACCTCAACAAACTGGTGAAATATATACTTTTTTTCAGAAAATGCTGCACTTCCTTGCATTTTAGTTGAGATCATTGTTCCTACGATTTGCGTCAGCCAGAGTTTCAAAGAAACACATTCTTTTTTAAACATCATATTCCAATTGTTCTCTGGGAATATTATCGCCAGTGAAACAAGGACACTGTGTAAGGATGAGATGAAAAGACTAAATGTGATTGATGTGGTGCGACAGAAGAATGGAAAGAGCGAGCTCGCCTGAAAGAAGCTCCCAACATACGGAGTCAAACATGGTGGCGAACAACACGCGGCACAACCCAAAATCACATCAGCGAGCTATTCAAAATAAAACTACAAATATCGTTCAGGGTTTGTAATTGCATTGTTTCTATTTCCTGTATAATTTGTACCATTCTGTCACGTTCGCCAAACAAAGATGCAACATCCGCATAGCATTTGCGTGGACCGCTGCACGGCAGCTTACAACCGGCAAACCCTACGCAGTGGTGACAACCTCACAATAAGCACAGGGCTGGCATGAGCAACGTGTCCTTACATTACGCTGGTCGGAGGGCGAGGGCAACCGTTGACAAGCCCACAGCTTTGAATGTGAGCCACAGCTGGCACTGCTCCTGAACGGTGTGTTTATCGCCAGCCCTGGACCTCAAAGCGAATGGAAATTGGAGGCGATATCAAAAGGCCTACACGATGATGTGTTGAATGTGCGGGAATCGTGTTTGGGGTGGGGTGGAGGGGTGTGAAAACGGGTCATTGTCGCAGGCACATAAACAGCGCGGAAGGGGGAGAAAATGGGGGATGACTCACGCTCTGGAGGATTTGCAAATTAAGAACGGTGCTGTCGTTTATCTTTTGATGAGGATTAATTCCCTCTTTAATTAGCTTTATAATGTACATCTGATGAGCGAAATTGGAAAACAACGTGACATCAACGTTCCACAATACAGGGCCATTTACACCTGTGGCTGCCTAACTTCCACTAGAAATTACCGTATTGATACGCGTACATTTCAATCGCATGAAGTTACATAAAGCGCGTAGCTGCTTCCGAAAGTGACCCCCTTTTGCTCGGGCACACGCGCTGCCAATCTTTCATGATCGTAAACAAATGCAAAAAAATGTGCTTCGCTGACAAAATGCGAATCCTTGCAGCAGGTGGTTGCAAATTTATGCAAAAAAATATATATTTATTATTGGCATAAATAGCAACGAAAAGCAGCGGCCCGTTACGTGCAAGATGATGAGAGATGCCATGCGAGCTCACCGCTTTCTGACGAACGCATTTCGTGCAGGTGCACGATTGTGTGCAGCCGACGCGACTTTTGTAACGGAACGTGCTCCACCCGGCATTAAAATCTCTTTGTCTTCCTTTGCACAGTGCAGTAGGAGTATTATTGATCTGTACAGAGATCATTGGAAATAAGGTCTTGTGGCCAATCCCTGCTTAGAAAAACGTAGCAATCTCGCGCAATTTTCCCAGACAAATTTGACCACGGTGTCGGCACACAATGCTCCAGTCGTTTTATTGTCATGGGATCTTCCACATCAATAGGTTAGAGCAGACGTGCATGTAGCCTGCAAAGGACGGGCCGGACTTCTGTGGTAAATTCCTCCCACGAGGGCTTAAACTACATTTTGTTTACCGGCAAACCCAAGACTTAAAAGGAAAATGCGCTAAGCTTCCCGGCCTCCGCCAAATATTCGCTAGCGCTCGGGGAATGCGCCGCCCGTCTGCAAGTGCACACTTGTAGCGAGGTTAGGGTGGAGAGCGGCGGCGAGATTAGCCTTCATTCTTCTGGAGAAAGAGAGAAAAAGAAAGAAAAAAAAACGATTTTCTCCGCAGCTGTTTCCCCCGGCCGGAGATGTCCGGCAGAGAGTTTGCATCGTGGCCGAGCGGCAGCGGGATTGGCGGTTCAAGTCGGAGTTGGTCGCCCCCGGTTAATACTGCGGGGCTGTGTTAACCGTGAAATGCTTCGGCACAGCGTGCGTTCGCGATCTCGTGGCGTCATTCCAAAAGCAGTAGGCCCACTGTCCCTCGTTGCCCGGTGTCATCGTCAACATTTTCCATATTTCAATATTACTCGCAGATGACCGCGGGGGTGTGTTAACGGTAAAATAATTGCGCGCAGCGCGCATTCGCGATCTCGTTACTTTCTTTCTAAAAAAGAGTCGTGTTGTACCGGTGTCATGGTCAATTTTTTTTTCCAGATTTGAAAATTACTCGCAAATTACTCTAAGTGGGCAAAACCACAGAGGAACTTTGCCCCCTTACTGGTGAACTATACCCACTTGTGAAAGGTGTTTTGATGAATTTGTTGGGTTTTTCGTGAAAGACAGTGCCTTCCTAATAGCGTTTGTGCTCTAAGAATAGCGCAAATACCAAAGCAAATGTACAGCATTTGCCAATCTATTTTTTTACTCCCGCAGTGCAGTCGTATAGCACCTCCGATGAAACTAAACGTTAGCTCCAAAGCTGTTTGTCTGTACCAAGGGTAATTCTCTAAAAAAGGTCTGCATTGCAAAATGCATAGCAGAATCATTGCCACAGAAATACAAAACACGTATGATAATAACTTGAATCTTCGATGGTCACATTTGCATATACAGTACTATAACATGTGGCGGTAAAAGTTAAAAATGCCATGCGAGTTTATAGTTTGGCTGTGACATCCCTTGGTATGCTTGTACAATGGAAATACTCGTGTTTGCTTCATTGCTCTGGATTTTTTTTGCGACAATTAGCTATGATTTTAAGTCCGATTTAAAGAAAGTTCTCAAACAGCATACTGCTTTCTGGGAAGGGAAAAACATATCCCGCGATTTTTTTGTATTTTTTTGTGTGTGCAAAACATTGCTTATAAATGTACAGTATTGGGGTTGTTTTCCTCCCACCCACAATGGGAATCAAGACCTCTCTGTTGCTTCTATTGGTTTAAACCACCTTGCCGTTTGACAGGTGTGACCGATGCTCGCATCGTATTTGTTAACCCTTTGAGAAACTTGCGGGCGCACATCACAGGGCACAGCATGCTTCCGAATCGCTGTTAAGCCGCAGCGTTGCGGTTGCTTTTCTTCTTCTCATTTTATACCGCATCAAAGAAATACACAAACTGGCACGGAGGCGCAGAGGCGATGCAGCACATGTCGGAGCAGCGGTGAATGTTTTTTGTTGTTGCTGTTGTTGTTGTTGCCGAGGCGAGAGCAAGTAAAGCAAAGAAGCCCTTACCTTCTCGCTAAACGTTATTTCGTAATCCAGGATGACGCTGTTGGGATGCTTCGGCTCTGACCACGACAGGGCGATGGCGTCTTTAGATATTCGGTTTTGACGAACGTCCAATATTTGTCCCGGTGCTGAAAAGCATAAAAAAGTTAAAACAAAAAAAATCCGGTTACTCAATCTACTTTGTTTTCTGGCTTCTTGAATAACAATGACAAATATATATAAAAAATATAATCCTGTTACATTCATCTACACGGATTATAATGTGACAGACAACACACAGATAAAGATCCCCCCTGTGTAGCCTACACATGCAGTTGGGGACAAGTGCTCTTAGCGAGCTCCGATGAAGGCTGGCCAAGGGTTGGTGTGGCTAGCACCGGACCACCCCTGCTGCCTTTGTCTCCCCCAGTGCTCATGTTGACGTACCTCAAAAGGTACTGACTTAAGGCAGAGTCAACCTTGTGGCGGGGAGGGGGGGGGGAATGCCCAGGACCAGTTCAGATATTTGCAACTGACGAGCAGGAATAGAACTTGCGTTGCCGGAAAGATAGTGCAGTGCGCTAACCACTGCGCCACCACTTCACAGAATACGTACTGTATATATATACATAGCACACACACACACAACAACAACAAATAGGACATTAGAGGTGGCCGGTCAGCATCCCAACTCGATAAATAAATGGCATGTTCAGCTCTTGAAAGCTGCTATCTTGAACTTTGTTGGTTTGACGAATCAAAAATTGTACCTTCAGCTTTTGCCGCAAAGTTCTATTTATTATGCCGCACGACACGTTGCGGGGAGGCAGAAATGCGCAAAAAACTCATTACTTAATTCAATTCACCTTTGCCACGGAAGAAATCATCGCGCTCTTTAGGGAACGTACACGCGCGTTAACACGTTTGAGCGATAATGAATTGGGGTTCTCGCGCTCCCGACGCCGTCCTGCTGCGTGGGGGGAGCGGTTGTCGCGTTGACGGGGGATGCGTCCCGTCCCCCTCGCATCTTCAACATTCCCCTCGTGCTATTTCCGCGGGTCACGTAACAAAAAAAAGAAGTGATTTGATTCGCAAGTGATTTAGCTCCCGTTTTGTTAAAATCCCTTAATGCAATTTTGGTTTCTTCGGAAGCATATTTGTTTTATTGCTAAACTCCAACTTTCAATAAACACAGTCGTCAGTGATGGTTTGTTGGCAACAGATGCTGTTTTGACTATTCAGCCAAACCGTCCACCCCACCCCCATCAATTTGTATTTGTCCTGCATTTATAGCGCAAAATTATAGCGCAGAGAAAACTACCCAGACGTAGAAGAGCCAAATAACTATTTTAATCAAGCTAAACAAATACATATTTAACGGTGGATGTGCGTGCGGACTGAAGCCCGAGGTATGGCTGCTGCTATGTTTCACAAATCGACTGGCAAGTGAGATTGTATTATTTCCGTTTCAAAGTTCAAAAGGCAAAAAAAGTGCGCGGTGCGAATTTGAGCAGAGGAGAAGGCCGATGCGCCGAATGGCATTAAGTATTTACAAAGAGGCGATCGAGACTTGGATTCCTTGGATTGATTGATCTATGGCTTAATTTGCATCGGGACATTCCAATGCTCAATTCCAAAGACGAAAGGAAATCCATGCCGGTAAACTTTCGCAGCAGCAAGTGCGGTTCCTTACTGTCTACTAGGGAATACAAAACTACTCTATGAAGGTAGAAAGACCAGTTTACATGGTTTGGTTTGATAGTTTGTGTAATCTTGGACACTTTGAAAGGAAACTTCGTCTCGAACGGCTGGAACTGACAATTGAAGTCAGCACTCGCTGGTAGTAATAGCTCTGTTTGTCACATGCTATATGGTCACTTCAGGTATTTTTTTTCAAAGTAACCAAACATTATTAGTTTAAATTACCAAAACCTCAATTCTCTATATGGGCAAAAAGAGCTCAACACATTAATCAATAGCAATACCTGAAGAGGGACAAAAAACCCCCCAAAATCTTATAGCACGTAAAAAATGTACATGCTATTAAGAAGGGCCATTTCCTGAAACGTAACCTATTATATATTTTATTATGTATTGGCATCAGAGCAATGGACTCATCGTAACCCGGGTTCTTTGAACAGTGTGCTAACCACGGCGCCACCGCTCCCCCACATAGATACGAACTAATATTGGTACGTGGGGCATTACGATTGTGGTTTGAATGCCATGTCAACTATGCAAAAGAGCCAGATAATGACCTTCATTCAAGTTTCAAAGATTTTATATTTTATATCTATAAAATCTGCCAGAATAGAAATTGTGAACGGCAATTTACCGTTGGTATGCTGCTGTGTCAGAGTGGATTTTATTTTCTTGCTGATAAATGTGTTTATCACTACACATAGTCGTCACTGCTGACATGCGTTCATGAGCAACTTAATGCGTAATGTTGCTGAATCTTTAATAATGTCTAACAGTGCTGCGATGTTTAATATCAAACACAGTGATTTTTTTAGGCATATTTTACGGTACAATTAGATTATTATTCTCCTTAAAACATCTGAATATGTGACAATAACAGTGCACACCACTGTGATGAGTCGATTTTCATTAGATAATAGCTTGATATTTACTAAGCAACAAGTGCAATAATCTCTGTCTCAGGTGTGATGAAATCCTTTGCCATTTTAATCGGATATTTCACTTCCTTGCTCAATGTCCTTTATTCAAACAGAAGATGAAATAGACCCATTGATATACACACGAAACGTCACTCTCTCTTTTTAAGATCAACCTGGGTAAATATCCCCGCGCGATGTTGATCAATTTACGATAAATAAAGTTTACAACTAGAATGGTAAATAGCCTTTGCGCATTAGTCGTTTGTAAACAGATTTTCTGAATAAATTGACAGCGTGGTGGTTATACGATGTCGTCAATTTCTGACAGCATGGGAGTTACACGCGTTACAGATTGTAACATTATAATCATTAGAGAGACATGCAATAGGATTGAGTTTACCATAGTCTAATAAATGTATTCATACATAATTTGCATCAAAGCACAAAGACAAGGTTTTAAAAATGCGAAATACAAAGATAAGGGAAACGTATGTTGCGATTATCGTCGTTTCAAACTGTATTGCAACGCAGCATGAGCAATTACATTGTGGCAACCCTACTTCCCATGTGCCTTCTCAAAGATGTACACTCACGTTGATGCGCTGCGCTATTATCAATACACTGAACGCTCTCCCCGTAAATCTGGCTTGGTGGCCTCGTGTTAGAACCAGCAGCTCGTAATCGGAAGGTCGGAAAATTAAAATCTTGGTTGGAGGTTGGCTCAGCCCATCATCTCTCCGGATCAATAAAAGGAGAAGCACTCAGTAGGGAAGTCACCGGCAGTGTTCAATGGGTAGACTCAGCCCTGCAATTTTAATTAGGAATTTGCTGGCTCAGAGTTGTAAACATGAGATGAGCACCACTCATTCATGCACTATCGATTTGACAATGCGTAAAGATACAGACACACAATGGAAGCGATCACTCCTTCCGCACGCCAAGGTGAAATGTATAACGTGTGTGTGTATATATAAATCCTTCACGGGGCACCCCTGCAAAGTGTTCTCTCGATCTAAGCGACGCGCACTCAGACGACGCAAGGAACGTCTTCAACTTTCCCGCAAGCACGGTTGGCTACATACGGTGCAAAAGAAGTTCAACACACACGCACGCACACACACACACACACACGTACAACTGGCTACGGGACGTCGAGCCGTCGTCGTTGCGGGTTCCAGCGCGAAACAGTGTTCACTCACCCGCGGGATTCATCGTCAGCCGAATGGAGGCCGACTGTGGCGGAGCCCGGGTCAGCTCGGAGACTCCGTTGGTAGCCCGCACCTCGAACGTGTAGTTGGTGTGGGCGGCGAGCCCCGTCACCGTGACCCTCCGCTCCGTCACGCCGGACTGGCGCGGGGCGAAGCGCACCTCGGCGCCACACGGCAAGCATCGGGGGCTCCCCGCGGCACCGCTGCTGCCATCGTCGCCGCTGGCCGGCAGCGGCTCGGCGGGCGCGCACACTCGACACGCCACGCTGTAGTTGAGGTCGCGGCGGCCTCCCGTGTCGCTGGGCGCGCTCCACTCGAGCACGAGGCACGTGGCGTTCATGCTGGCCATGAGGGCGCGCGGCAGAGACGGGGGCCCTGCGCACAGCGACGCGGTGGGGGGGGGGGGGATGCATCCCAACATGCCGCCGGTGATCATTTTGCGGGTTGTGACTTGCTGACCACTGCCCCCCCCCCCCACACAGCTCATCGAATTCATCCTGGATAAATGCAGATTTTGATTCCCCATCATTTGCTCGTTCGTCCGTTAATTCGTTCGTGTAAAAGGTACAGGTGTGGCCTTGGAATGGCTCGCCACTGCCAGCCAAAGGGCCTCCACTCGAGGCAGCTCCGGAGAGCCCCCTTATATTGGGTGCTCATTGGTTTGTGCAAAAAGGTAAAAATGAAAGTCGAGGTGCAGCCGTGGGAATGTCACGTCAATGGGAGATGGTTGCCCAACGAATAGAAGCGTTCCCAGCTGCAGGAATGCGAATGTTTTTTTTTGTTCTGTTCGTTTGCCACCAATGTAGGTGAGTGTTGCTCAGTCACACTTTGAGTTTCCCCGAGGCCACACAGGTCGACGTGGTGAATTAGCCGTCACTTTGTGGCACTTCACCCACCGTCCCACTCCTGTGGAAGTTTCCTGGCTTGGTTGGGAAGTTGAGATTTGCGGGCTGGACTGCGACCTAATGGACTACTTTCCTTGTTTTGACAGCTTCTTTTTTTGCGGTTTGTGCATTCTGCCCTGGTGCCATTTCTTAATGTGTTTATTAATTGCCTATTTACTTTTTTTGCTTGGTAGTAGAGTTTTAATTTGATTGGTAGTGGCTATATATGGGATTCGGTTGGCACATATAATTATCGTGCTGTGGAATGGGATGTTATTAGCATCGCTTCTCAGTTTTAACTAAGATCGAGTATTGGATGGGATGCGATTAGCATGAATTTCGCAATATCAAGTTAAAGTATTATTATTATTAGAGATACAGCCCTGCAATTATTTACTTATACCACGTGTGACAGAAGGGCCTCCATTCGAAGGAGCTCAATGAAGCCCTCCTCGAGAATATTTTGGCCTACCCTTCCTTGCTGGGCAGACATCTTGGCAGCACTCATACGTCACCCGCAGCACGTGTGAATCAATATCGAGAAAACATTAAACGAAATTCCACACGGATCGTCAGAAACTTACTTGCTAGACTGCCTGACACGGCAATTTTGCTGTCCTCTCTGTATGTGTCACGAGCACACGATCTCAGTGTATTGCACAGGCCCCGCTTCCAAGGGTTCGCATTTCAGGCATGCCCGCACCGCATAAGTGACATTTATGCCAATTGTGTTTTTCATGCATTTTGATATTCGCCATCCATTACAAACATGAATGAAGCATTTTATTTAGCCTATTTGTAACGGTCACGGATCCACGCGAAGGATTTGGACAAAAAAAACTTTCACGAGAGTTGTGGGAGTTGGCTGACTGTGGAATTGTAAAAATTGCCTCTTACTCGAATGTTTAGATATCGTTTACACTCTCAATTGCAACTTTACTGCCATGGGGCTTCCCCTCGGTTGAAATGGTGCCGTGTTCCTTCTGCCAGAATAATTAAATGTATAACATGCAGCCCTTTGCCAGTCCACTGCTGTATGAAGGCATCCCCGCGGTGTATAGGTCATGGCAGTTGTTTCACCATATTTCACCACACTGATCGGCTCCCTTGTATATTATATTCACCAGCGAGCATAGCTATTAGGTTAGCTGACATACAAAAAGTGTCTGCCTCACTATAGGGCACCATAGTTTAAATGGGTTGCTCTTGCCGACAGCTTCGGGTAAATTCAGCAGCATCAGTTTAACAAGCCTCGATGCTGATGAGACCCAGAAGGTCAAATCCGGTCAAGAGTCTTACTCGTTTAAACAGATGCTGCTGGGTAATATTGGTCTGGTAAGTCAATAGGACGAGGGCTAAAATGCATTTTTTATTTATTTATACGCAGAGACACAGAGTGGAGTTGTGCTTGTATTTGCTTTTATCTCACAATCGCATTAAATACTCAGCTGTGATGTTAATGGACCTACTTCGGAGGTCCAGGCTAATAAAATCATCTCAGTTCAATAAAATCATTCAATTTATATTGACAGGTCTTTCGCTTCAACTTATGAAATAATAAATGATGTACTGTTTTGATTTGGTTACTGGTTGAAGGCATTGTGTGGTGTTGTCAAGCGATATTAGACCACACTAGCTCTCCGTCCATGGCTGTTTTGTTACAAGCCAGTTTCTGGATATGTTCATGCAGCCCAACATCATCAACATTTATGACATGATACACAATTTACAAAAACATATGTCAATCCACTGGCTAGATTAACCGGACTTCACAACCCTGGTCAGTAAGGGTTTGCTGAGGGGTAGTAGCCCAGTTCTGGTTTGGTTACCACTCACCACTTCTTCTGCATGATGTAGAGCAACAATGAACATTTGACACTGCGCTGCTTGAGCCAGATTATTGCGTTGGGAGTAGCGGAGTGGAGCATTTCTCTGATGGTGCCTCCTTTGTTTTTGTCAATCGAGCGTTGAGTCGTTATACGTTTCATGGTCTGTTCTGGGTGACTACAGTCGCACACTGGAGAGTTCTTAAAGTTTAATTTGTATACCAAGTCCCACATCTGCCATGGTTTATGTCGGGATGTAATTTAGGGTTGTAGCCGGTAAGCTTCGCGGAAGATCAAAGTCAGGGATCGTCTGCGTCGGGTCTTTTACAGATGTGAGGCATGGCCAGGTAACTAAACTATAAACTGGACTCTTTTTATTTTACCAGGTAAGGCCCACTGAGCTGGAAAACTTATTTTCAGAAGCGACCTGGCCACAAATGATATCCCAGTGAAGTTACTTATCATGTGGAAATTTGTTGCAGCCAAATATATTCTAAAACGCGTGTTTAGAAATGTGATGGAAAAAAGCCCGAAAATCCACGTGACCACGGGGAGAACGTGCAAACTTCAAATATACAGGTGTCAGGGTCTGAATCGGGATTGAACCCACGACCTCCTGTCTACCAGGCGAGGGAATTGACATCTCGCCACCATGGCACGCCACGACCTGAGGTGGCTGGGTTCATTGCGCATTGTACTATGCATGTGCATTAACCACTTTGCCTCCACTCCCCTATCTGGAATATAATATAGTTGTTAACATATCTATTTAATATAGGGTAACGTTTTGTTCCCCTTTTATTCAACAAACCGAGAGAAAATGTTCCTTTTATTGAACAAATCTATTGCCATTCTTAAGATGTGAAAGAAGATCTGATTTTAATAACATAAATAAACAGACAATGTATTTACTTCATATAACGTCTTTTTTTTACAAAAGCTGTCAGCCGTAAAGCCTTCTGGGAAGATGTATTTCACTAGCAATCGCTGGACCATTTTGATGTACTACGGTGAAACCACTGGAGCGTTTGCTTGTTTTGAACCAAAGCTGCTGAAAATAAGACCTCCCAGAAGGCTTTGCAGTTCTAAAACACTATTATTCTTTATGTGGAGGAGCAGGAGATATACTGTCCGCTCATTTATTTTGTTACTTATATTCTCCATGACGATGCTCATGATTATTTTTGCATAATGATGTATTTTATGGAATTTGGTTGCAGGTAATTTTACCATTTTGCATTTGAGCTATTTTACCCGAACCCCAATGCATGCTATTAACATCTATTTTATGGCAGATGGTGTGATCAAGTAATTCCCAAAAGGAAATTGCTCAGCAGTTATGGATATTGAAGCCTCGGCTCCATACACACACTGGCGCGGTAGCAAGTGCACCGCGAGGACAGCTGTTTAACTGTGCCCTCGTAAAAACATAAAAGGTACAGCTCCGAAATTGTGTTCTCAAGGCACTGCTACCAGAAGGGCCACTAGCTTAGAGGGAGCCATGGAAAGACCCTCTCGCGAGGGTATTTTGACCGACTCTGTCATGCTGGCCGGATGTCTTGGAAAGAGTGAAAGTACTCACACGTCATCCCACCGCACACGATCTGCTGATCGAGTAACTGCAACGTAACCATTTGTACTTCTTGTTGGATGGAGGCCGGGGGATTTAACTACCTCGCTGGGAGACCAAGTCGAACAGGTGACCTCGGGATTGTAAGGCCACTGTGCTAACTATTACTTATTTTTTGTTATTTTCTTTTAACCTATCTACGTGACTTTTACCGAAAGACCCAATAATATGTATTACTTAATAGCAGCGTGATCTAATTCATTTTTTTTACGAATTAAACGCAACATTGCATATTTTAGAAGAGAAAACAGAAAAAAACGGAAGGTGGCAATGAGTTTTTCAGCTTAACAATGTGTGGACACGAGAGCTGATGTGACAAGTACCGCTGCACCACACAGAATACGAGTGGGGCATCAAAACAGATCGGCTCGAATGAGCCTGTGGTACTGCTGGGAGGTCGAACAGGCGACCTCCGTATTTGTCCGGAGTGCTAGACATTACACTCTTCAACTATTTGTTATTTTATTTTACCAGGTAAGGCCCACTGAGCTACATAGCTCTTTTTTTCAGAAGCGACCTGTCCACAAAGGATAGCTCAACGAAGCGGCTTATCTACACGTGGAAATGCATAGCAGCTAAATGCTCTCTAAACGCACGTTGATTCTAAAATGTGCAGGGAAAAATCGGGAGGACCCAGAGACAAATCCACACGACCACGGGGAGAGAGAGAGAGACATACAAGCTCCAAATATACAGCAGCAGGCGTCAGGGTTGGGTTCGAACCCACGACCTCCTGTAAACCAGGCGAGGTGGTTAAGTAAAGCCACAGGTAACATCGCAGACGTCCCCCGTGTCATCACGGAGCTCTGCCGTCGTGCTCGGCAGATGCGGTCTTTCAAGAAACATGCATTTCACGACAGCACCCCCCTCCCCCCGTGTGCTTCAGGAGAACGTAAGGCGACCCGCTTGCGATGCCGTTCAAGGGGTCCCCCAACCCCGACGCGTGCCAACGTACGTGTGCATGCCATGGACTTGGGGTCCGCCTTGGCTCTGTAGTAGCTCTCGTCGCACTCGCAGTCATACGATCCGGCCCGATGCGATAGGCTGTGTGGGGGGCACTTGGAACACATCTGCTCGCCGGCGATCTCTTTGTAGAACCCGATGCCGCAGGCTTAGAGACGCGGATCAGAGTGGAGAGAGAGAGAGAGAGAGCAGAGGAGAGGGGAGAGAAAACAAACAAACAGAAACAACACCTTGAGCCTCATTGCCAGAGGTGGTTCCATCAAAAGCACGCACGCTCTCGCTTGCACAACACGTCTCACTTGTGAAAATTACTTGAATGAAGACACACGCAGCTGTGCGCACGTAATAACAATAATAAGCACGATTACACATTTAAATAGCACGGTATCTGTGCACAGCTATTTATTTCTACATATATAGACATATACAAAGATCCCCCATATAGTCTTAATAGACTGTTGGGGCAAGTGCTGTTAGCGAGCACCTATGAAGGCCAGCACAGCGCACAAAGGGGTGGGTCACGAGCATCACGCCCAGCCGCCTTCGTGTCCCGAGTGGTGATATTTACACGTCGCACCAGGCACTCATTTGTGGCGAGTCGCCCAACGGGAGGGCCAAAACCGGTTCAGATAATAATCGTCACTGGCGTTGGCTGTGAGCTCGAATCGAACTCTGGAAGCCAGCTTTGTAAGCGCAGCGCGCTAACCGCTACACTACCGTTCCCATTGTACATATATATCCATACACATATACATATATATTACTATACATGAATATCAATACATATATATTTATACGCACACGTGTGCGCACATGCACATCTTAACAGAGGACGTAAACGCATACCCACACAAGAGTCATGTTAAACGGTGTTGATCCACTCTAAATATTTCCCCAGAGGTCAGCTACAAAGGACCATTATTGTGTAAAATTGTAAAATGGGAATCTCTTCTCGTGCCTCCGGTCCATTTGGGACAGTCGCTGCTGTCAATCACCGCTACGGCATCTCGTCCAATCCGGCTATCGCCCGTTCCAAGAGCAGCGCAACGCGTCTGAGAGGACCTCCACGCTGCAACCCACTGGGCTGTCGTCGGCTGGACCGCTGGCCTAAAATTTGCCTTTGGATGGGGAACTCCCGCAGGGCAAGAGGCTGCGGGTTCGCCCGGCTGTGACGCATTACGACGCGTCACGCACCGCTGACGAAAAGGAGTGCATCGGTTAATATCGACACTCGTGCTCAAGATGCCGGCATGAGATTGGACACGTAAGAATGCATGTTTTCACGAACGCTTGTATTTCGGCGATACGGGGCACTGATTACCGCGGGATCCTATTACCCACGGGTTTATTCACAGCGGTCCTTCTGAGTAGCACAATGTGCAAGGAAGAAGGACCGTTGCCCAAATGTTGCCCACCATGTTCTTTGAAGTCGGTGTTATTGACATAATGTGAGGTTTTTTTTGTTTGTTTGTTATTTGTGCTTGTGTATCACTGCCAACGCAGGATCACCAAGCGATCCGTGTGTATCGTGTGCGTATGGATGATTGGGAGTGGTTAAAGAGGGTTGTGTAGAAATGTGGGCCGAGAAATAGCCGCGATTACAATTCGTGGCACTCAGCATTAAGATAAGTGAATGGACTTCGACAGGACACGTTGTTTTAAGGCTTGGTAATCTGCGAGTACATGCAGACAAGCAAAACGACAGCAGAGAATATTGTACCCGGATGGTCTTTATGCAGTGCTGTGTTTGTTTTTCTCCTTTGGGATTATTTTAATGATTCATATTGTACACGTATGAACATACGTTGCTTCATAGCTTATTTCGCGATGCACAATAACGTTTTGTTCATGATAGTGCAGGCTCCAAAATAATTCAACTGTAACCGTCGCTCATTTCCTCGGTGTGGTTCTGCACGTTCAAGAAATACACCTCGCTGGTTGATGAATATAATCAGTGCGATGCTACCTGCTCTGACATATGGTTCAGTCATTTAAAAAAAAACAACACACGGAAGAACAAACGGAAGCGTGTGGAGAGATGCACGCTTGGAATTACAACGAGAGACAGAGAGAGGAACCACGTGAGCGAAATAACACGCACAGGTTAAATAATTAAAATTACACTGTTAACCCTTTCCCCGTTCCGAGACGTCTGCAGAGTTGCAGGGTGGGTGTACCGTTCATCGCCGGAATGTGTAAGCGGCTCAGCGTTAATTTTATTTGGAGACGCCTAGCGCCGTTTGTTTTTAAAGACATTGTACTCACGGCAGAAAAGTGTAGCGACACAGCCGCACTCTATGATCGCTGGTGCGAAGCTGTCCCACACGTCCTCCCGCATGGCCTTGTGGGAGCCTCGATACCGATTAAGTTATTTTATTTGAGTTATTTCCTTTGGAATCGGAAGAAAAAACTATTTTTTTTAGCTTTTACTTCCGAATCGGGAAAAAAAACTGAAACCAGAAGTACTAAATTTAAATAACACGTACGTCATCGGAATGGAATCGGAAGAAAACCTGTTGACCTGCACGTACACATACGTCATCAAAATTGGAAAGGGTTAAGAAGAGTGGGTGGCCTTGGGCAGGATGCGTCACAAGGAGGGATGACCGATGGTTAAGAGCAGTGCAGGAGTGGCATCCAAAGAATGGAACGCATCCGAGCATGACGTCCACTGGGTGAGAAGAAGCCATGCGATTGGCGAGAGCGTGAGCGAGAGTGTGAGCGAGAGCGTGAGTGAGAGCGTGAGCGAGAGCGTGAGCGAGAGCGTGAGTGAGAGCGTGAGCGAGAGCGTGAGTGAGAGCGTGAGCGAGAGTGTGAGTGAGAGCGTGAGTGAGAGTGTGAGTGAGAGCGAGAGTGAGAGTGTGAGCGAGGGTGCTGGCCGGATCGTATCATCGCGAAATCACGGGGGATGACGATGGCTTGGGGAGGCCTTAAATCCAGCAGTGAAATGTTGATGATGAGATGACGATCATTCCCTCAAGAGTGGTTTTGTTCAATGTATCAATGTAATGCTTTCCCTTTGATTCACCTTCATTTAGCACGTGTCTATCCCAAGTGTGATCATCATTTATCGTGCATAAGCATAGGTTAATGACTCTTATCGGCTATTATGGAACAATTTCACTTCCTTTATTGTGCTAATTTCTTTGTTGCTTCAATCCGTCTTCATAAGAGGATTTTTCCTAGAGTAGCCGTGAATAATGACTTGGCAGCATATTGGATTTTGCACAATCATTCCCAATATAGCCCAGTCAGCAGCCCTGCGAAAATGTGTGTGCTAACTGGACTACTCATAGTTGCCTGACAGTTCTAAGACATGATGAATCTTTAATAGCTCATGAGGCGCCACGGTGGCTAGGAGATGTTTACTCCCTCGCCTGGTATACACGAGGGGTTGTGGGTTCGATGGCAACCCTTGACGCCTGCCGTATATTTGGAGTTTGCGTGTTCTCCTGATGGTCGTGTGGATATTTCTCTCCGGTTTTGTCCCTCCACATTTAGAATCAACATGCAATAAGAGCATTCGGCTGCTATACATTTCCACACGATAAACCACTTCGCTGAGCTATCATTTGTGGCCAGGTCTCTTCTGAAAAAGAGCAACGCAGCTCAGTGGTTGCCTTACCTGGTAAAATAAAATAAAAATTGTTTAAATAGTTCATTTAATTGTTTTTTTTTATTTTTAAAACTATTTCCACAAAAGGAGTCTCGAATTCCGATGTGTTCCCATTTGTAATGGTGTAGTACACTTGCCCTCATGCGAAATATTTAATTATGACGTAAATAACGCTTTGGTAGTCCGTGACTTGGGGACCATCTAAAGCAGTGGTTCTTAACCTCTACCGCAGCCTTGCACCCCTTTGGTTATCAATCGTAAAATGTTTTTTTTACGTGAATAAATACACAGGGGTTGATGAAACGCGCCCGTGCTTTATTTGTGTTTTTGATTATTTACCTTCGAAAAAAATCTGGCCATGTCTCGCAACCCCCCAGAAAGGGCATCTCGCACCCCCCAGTGGGTGAGTGCACCCCAGGTTAAGAAGAAGAACCACTGATCCAATGTGAAGCCCCCGTCTCCTATCCCCCCACTCCCTCCCCCGACCGCTTGCGTCAACATGCAAAAAGGTTAAATTCTTTGTTAAAATTATGAAATCTCATGGCAGCTGCCGTTTGTCATCACGAGGCTCTTCAATCTCCAATCGCCGTCAACGTCCACGGAGGTTATTACCCAAACGCGGGGACAATCCCGATGACAGAGCCTCACTCGTCGAAACCCCCTTGGACGCACGCCATTTTGACCGTGCGTGTGTGTGTGTGTCTCTCTCTCTGTGGCTAAATCGGTGTCGGCAGGGGTGCAGCGCTGCAGTTGCTTGCTCATGCAACCCGCTGGTGCAACGGCCTCCTCCCATTGGTGCGCACGCGTGGTTTGTACGCATGCTTGAGGAACTTCTTTCCCACCGCCGCACGTAGCCGACCGTGCTCATCGTAAGGTGCGGGGTCTTCAAAGAGAGCCACGTTAATAGAGGTGGCACAGAGGCTGATGCGACAAAAGGGCGAATCACAATCGGGTTAGTAAAGCAAAGGTACAAGTGCAGCCCTCGCAATGTCTTGCTCACGCCACTCCTGGCGGAAAGGGCTTCCGCTGCGGGGTGGGTGGGGGACTCTCGATAGCCCCTTCCACAGTGTAATTGGCCTACTCTTCCACGCTGACTAGACATCTTGGAAGAAGTGGCAGTGCCCTCATTTTGCCCCATCACACGCGCGAACTGCCGATCGCCTAACTGCGGTGGACCCATTTGCAGCGCTGCAGGGTGGATCGAGGCGCTGGGGAGGGATTTATAAAAGTTGCTCCACGCAGTGAGATCGAATCCGTGACCTTTGGATTGTGAGTCCAGTGTGCTCACCATTGCACCGTAGCTGCATACACCTGGCTAAATAAAGTGCCTAATCGCTTGTATGAACGTAGCCAACCGTGCTAAATCGGAGGCGCGGGGAGAAAGACAACAAACTAAACACAAAAAAAAACACTTCTAATTAGATGACTGCTGCCCATAACATCTGCAACATAACAGCATTGCTCTAACGAGGCCTCACTGCTGATGTGCATCATCACCATCATCATTAGCAACGTTTATCTACTGCTGGATG